CAGCTTAGCTTAATAATACTAAAAGAACAGCTTAGCTTAATAATACTAAAAGAAGAACTTATAAGGCAAAAATATAAAGATAAAGATAGCACTATTAACTTAGCTTAAGCTTTATAAAGCCTTAAAGTTATATACTAAGAAGCTATAAATCTAGCTAGATTTAACTATATTTTACAGCTAATCTAGGTTAATACTAAGGCAGATAATAAGCCTCTAGTACTTATAAAGTACTTATAGAAGAAGCTTAATTGTTATAGTCTAAGCTATACTTAACCTTAAAGATGCAATGCGAAGCAATAAATGCACTGCACTGCAATACGCAATAGAAGACATAAGCCCGTGCAGGGACTTATATAGTGCTAGATTGAGCAAGCTGTAGACAGCTTGTTCAATACGTACTCTTTTGACTCAACGGTCAAGGGCTCCAGCATCGCTGGGATAACTGCAGCTAGCACCTGCTATAGCCTAATAGGGCTGGTCTATCACATTTGAACAAGCTTTCTAGGGTTGCAGGTTCAAGCCGCACGAAAAGTGCAAGGGATACTTAACCTGGGCTCACAAGAGCCACTGCCACCCTTGGGGGGTGCGAGGTATAGGAGGTACAGAAGGGGGCTATGTCATGGTCTAAGCTATGCTCGACCTTAAAGATGCAATGCGAAGCAATAGATGCACTGCACTGCGATGCGCGATAGAAGACATAAGCCCGTGCAGGGACCTATATAGTGCTAGATTAAGCAAGCTGTAGACAGCTTGTTTAATACGTCCTCTTCAATAGTTAAGAGCTCTAGTATTGCTGGGATGACTGCGGCTGGCACCTGCTATAGCTTAATAGGGCTGGTCTATTACATTAATAAGAAATTAGCTAAAGTAGAGGCTAAAGTATAGTTTTAAGGCAAGGTAGTAATATAGCTGCTTTATACTTAGGCTAATATTAATAATTATATAGGCTAAATAGTATAATAACTCTAGAAGATAGCAAATAAGGCTGTACTAAAGAGAGCACTAAAGCCTTCTTGCTAGAAATAGTAGTAGAGCTAGTATATAATAAAGGCAGTATTAAATATAAAAAAAGTAAAATAAGTATAGCGCTATTGTTAAGGACTAGCCTTACAGGCTACTGCGTGTAAGCGTTACTAGTATTAACTATAAACTTAAGAAGAGAAAAGAGGGAAAGGAGAAGCTCTCTGTCCCTTCTTTTCCTTCTATTATATATATATAGGTTTAATATATATCTAAAGCGTATCTAACAAGGCACTAATA